TTACCTCCACGTGGTGCACCCTGGCCAACGTATACTCATATGGTAAAAAAGTCAATAAACCGGCAGTTGACTTCTGATTTCGAATTGCCATGATCCCACTGTATGTCATATTCGACTACTTCCACAGTACTCACTTCACCTTGTTTCTACCTTCGTCTTTGAAACACCCTTCTGTTCCCCCCCCCCCTATCGACATTTTTTCACTTTGATGTTCCCCTTCCCTTCTGTGAAGCCTGAAGTCAACTAAAGGGCTAATGATAACTATCATAAAGCCTGCCATTTGATAAAAATAAATAAATACCATCGAATACACGAGGAGACAAAATTTTCCTCCATGAAATTTAACGTTTGAACCGAAATTTTTTAAAAAAACTCAAGTGAAGTGAGGCTCCTTGATGCAATGACTGTACTACTACTCGTCATTAAGTAGACTTGTCCCTTCCATCTCACACAGTGAATATAGGGAGGACGACCAGGAACTGAATTCAATCAACTGGTCAATAAGATGAGAGCAACGTGAGAGTGTGAATCACGTAAGAATCTGGGGCCCCAAAAGAGTTTGGAGATTGGGAGGTAATATGATATATGTGGGTCTGCCAAGGTTGGAGGAAACAACAACATCACACACCACCTTTTTTTAGAGGCGTAAATTCCCACTTCGAGAAACCTTAAGCTAACCGGTGAAGTGCGAAGTTGTGTTAGATGAATGCGAATCCCTGCTGAAAGGAAAGCACTATCAAAAGGAACATTGGTCATCAAATGCAACGAACAACAATTACTTCCATTGCCATATTTCGGTGGCGTTAAGTCTGACGGAGGGAAGTGGTGGTTGACATCAAGTTTGAAGCAAAGCTTTCTTCCCAAGATCTTTTGAAAATCTATTCAGCAAACCCTCCCCTCCCCCACCCAAGCCTTTCCCAAATTAGTTTCTGATAGGCCTAGACATGCATCCATTTGTTGGAACGTCCTCCCAAGATTTATTAAGTGCCCTTCTTCTGTTAGTTAGCTGTCAGCGTCGTCCATTAGTCACGTTGCTCAAAGGTCCTCCAATTGAAATGAGGAAAGGTGAACATGTCTGTTCAGCAATTGAAAATAAAAAGCGAGCAAGGAAACACACGGAGTAACGTGAGATTGGGCCGAATTGAGGTGGCACACCATGTGCATGACTCGTGTCACATAGCTTTCTCCGCTCACATACCCACAAGTACAGACGAAAATGCATTNCCCCCCCCCCCCCCAACAATCCATTCATTGGTTCTAGACTAACTTGTCCTTTAGCTAGTAGAGACTTTGTCTCCTAACTAAACTGAGCTATTATCGATTGTAGTCAAGTTTCTGATTGTTGCTTCAACTTTATTGATTTCCTCTTATACTGATAACTCAAGCAGTATTCTGTTACTCAATCGCTTTTCTCCCTTATCGACTTCCATCCAATCTCCCACCCCCCCCCCCCCCCNCCCCCTCCACTGCCAATGTGCTGCACGGGTATCTCCTTTGCAAAAGTGGATAAAATTCTTCACCGTCAATACAACCACTCTTCTTGCCCATTGAGCTAACTCAGATGGACACGCTTGCTGCATAAGCAGGCAGATCTCAGGACTGCGCAAAGAAATAATGAGGAAATGTAACCATGAGTAGATCCGCTGGAGACAAATATTGGAATTTAAAGATAGAACGAAGATCCAAGCGATTAAAAGGCAATCTCATTCAGGTATTCAGACCTTCCCCCCCCCCCATCTCCAGTACGCAAGAATGTTAGATATATGCATTCTAGCCTCGAGACAAACTTCAAATAAATGGACTAATCGGACTCGAGGGAGTTGAAAAGAGCCTTTAGATCACCAGCGTAGAAAATTGAGATAAGCAATAATCAATAACACACACCTAAGAGGACTAGCTTCTGGTGATTCATCGTCGTCAAGGAACCATGAGGTTCTCCTCTTATCTGTCGGTGTCACAGTGTCTGCTGAACTACGTCGATATCGAGCTCCATCCACTGGACCTGAACTACCTTCCACGAACCGCGGGCGTACATCGAATGAGGAGAAGGGGATGGGATCATGGAGGTGGTATTTGGCGCAGAATTCTTGAGGGTCGAGGTAGTAATTCTGCAGCACACCGGTTTGATCAGCTTTGCCGGCTATGAAGAGACAGGGGACTCGTGTGCCTCGATAGAAGTTCTACAGATTGAAGAAGAATAAGAGAAGATATCAAGCACAAGAGCAGAAGTAGGCTCGCACCTAGATGGGTATAGAATGTCTATCTTCAAACGAATTATCGAGTTGAAAAAACTACTCGAAATACCACTGATCATAATCATAAGTAGCTTTCACTCTCTTGCGTTTGGGCTACAGAGTTTGTCGTAGAATCACCTTCTTTGCTAATGAGTTGTCGGTTAAAACCATGTAAAACTGACTTTCAAAAGGACACAGACCTACTGAAGTTCACTTGAGTAGACTTTCAGGAACTTGCCAGACCTCTGACTTGGGGGTGCAATGGCATTGGTAATGTGGCGGCACACGGTGGTTGAACGTTTAACCACCAATTAATCAATTAAGCACAGACTGCTTTGCACATAATACCTGCAACGCTCCACCTGCTGTACGCTGCCCCTTATTACCTGACACATCAAAACTGATGCCGAAATTGCAAATGAGACTACTAACCTGCATTCTTGAAAATCCCGATGCCTACTAAACAATCCGCCTACAGAGGTCTAAAGGGGGAAGAGTCTTAAAGACAAAAGCACAATGAACACAATTCGAAATCAGAAGAACCGTCCTCATCATCATCATCAAAAACTTTGCGATCAACTCTCTTCAGTAAAAGCGAATTTAACAAACCCTTGCCCCCTTCAACAGGGAATTAGAACGACATATTTTAAATCAAGAAGTTTCTCAGCTACACGCAATTCAAAAAGAAATATATAATGAAAATCGCATGAATCAGAAAGATCTAGAGATAGTTTTTTTGCAAAGTAGAGCCGAAAGTCTCATTTCTGCCGCTATGAGCGAGTGTGCTCACTACAGCTGACTCAGATCAAGGGGACGATAGATGTGCAGGCACTTCAAGACACGCTATCACTTCAACAAATCGTCTGCATCTTCATTTCAGGTGAAAGAACAAAACATCCCTGGACCGAAAATCGTCTCTATCCCAACCCCTCAGCCCCCCCCCCCCAACAGGGTGGGCGGATGTCCACGCAATGGATAAGGATGATACGCGCGACTTAAAGACCCCTTCACCACGAAAAAAACCACCCCTTTTGCGATTTTTGGCAGTTTGTCGACTGTCAATCAATAGCTCATAGAATTGTACCACTAAAAACCCAGCTCACCTTTCATCAATTGCTGCCTCAACGCATTTCTAAGCGTTGTAGAGTTGGAGCCGACGTTAATTAGACATTTTGAAGGGCAAGAAGAAACTAGTCACTCAGTCATGACCACAATGCGTCCGAAAATTAGATGAATTCGTATTGCAGGTTTAAACTACTACATCATATTTGCCATATCAAAGGAAGTATCCAAAATGAAAGTGTTCTTGTGGTTCAAAAATGGGCTAGAAATGGCTAGTTATGGAATTGAAACAAGCC